ATATAAACCAACTGATGAATGCATGTATTGGCCATCTTGAGTCCATATACAGGCAGTCCCCAAGTTATGAACAAGATAGATTCTGTAGGTTTGTTCTTAAATGTGAATTTGTATGTAAGTCAGTACAGGTACATTTTTAAGTGTAACTCCAGCCAATATATATATACATATATTTCTTAGCTTTGGTAAGGATAGGACAGGATTAACAGCTCTGAGGTGTTTGTTTTACTGTCTGTATCCCTGTTCAGAAAATTTCACTTCACTTTCTGTCTCTGTGATAATTGGATTTTGAAAAAATTGGCTTGCTGTGGAAACAAGGATTGGTGACACAGCTTTGGTTGAGACACCTTTACCCCATGATAACTCTTTCAGGAGTGAATTTCCCTTCCGATGAGTAGATTTCACTTCCAGCCCCATTCTTAACTATGAGTCATATGTAAGTTGGATGTTTATAACTCGGGGGCTGTCTTTGTGGAAAGAAAGATGGGATAAAAATAAAGAACGTAAATAAATGATCAAAATATACAAAAGTATGAAACAACATAAAACTAAAATTCTATGTTACTTTTTCATTTCAAAAAGAAATAAAATAGTAGCCACCAGATGTCAGTGGTCCTCCTGTTCACTTTGACATTATCTCCACAGCAAAAAATAAAACACAACAAAACAAACAACCACACACACACATAAGGCTTGGCCTGGTGCATCACTTAAATTGTGTCATATGCTTCCTTCACATTTTGTATAGCCACTCACCCATAAAAGTAACCTAAAAGTCACCAACACACTGTAGCATGTAAGAACTTCCCTCTTGCTGAGTTATAATTGTAATATACTTGAGTTAGACCAACAAGGAGTTAATTACAAGTAATATGTGTTGTGTGTGTGTGTAGTTACTTTTAAGTTTTAGGTCAAATTGCAAAACCCTCGCTTAAACCCTCGCTACAAAGCAGGCATAGTGTGACTGTTCACAGCTACGTATGCACCTACCACTGGCAATTTTTATTTGTTTTTATAGCTACGGAAAGAAAGAACAACTCTGTTGAAGATGAAAGAAAGAAAAATAATAAATGTAGAAGGTGAATGAGATAAACAGAGGAACCAAGTCTTGTCCTTGCTGTGTGCCACAATTGTCTTTTTTGTTTGCCTAGTATTGAGGTCAAGCTTCAAGGTGACCCTATGCATTTTTGTTCTCCTGGCAGGAGTGAATGTGCCTTGATAGATGCTTGAAACAATTACAGCGAGTTAAGGGAATTCTAGCAAAGCGCTAGGGAGAGCAGTTCATGCCTTTAGGGCCTCATCTCCAATAGAGATAGGAAAGCCAAATAAAGTTGAAAATATAGAGTGGGAAGAGCAAAAGAATAAGAAGCAAGCAACATATATCACATATTCTGCATTTCCCTTTTAAAACTTTTGCCCAGATCTAAATTTCAGTGGTGTTGAACCTTATATTGTCTAGTTAAATGCACTTAGAAATCCTACATCCAAATTAGAGACAGAAGAGCAGAGCTATGCATTATGGAGAACTGCTTAAGTTGGAGAATTCTTGTAGAACTTCTGAGTATCTTAAAATGATTCTTTTTCTTAAAATCCAAATACTATTTTTCACTTTTGTGAGGGTTTTTATTTGTCCTCTTTGATTTCCAAATTAGGAGATTTCACTTCTAAAATAACAAATACTCTCAATTTTTCCAGTGTCTGAATATTGGAATGAGGTATCAGATTAACTACTTGAAATCCATTGATGTTTATCCACACTTGTGCCATCAGTTTATGTGCACATTGATGAAAACCCTGCTGAAAAAAGCTGTATTGATGCATAAGTGGGATTCTGTCATAGTTGTGATTCTCTCAAGTTCATTTTGTCCCATCCGGCCCCCAAATATACAAGATCCAATGTCAGTTAAACACCCTTAGAAAAATATTTGTAACACATGAAAATGTTATGATTATTTTTGTGGAGTGTTTAACTGATATATGATCTGTGGAGTGTTTAACTGATAAATTATTGTGTCAAAGCTAGATTTCTGAAAACCCTTTTCAATGCATACATGTGCATAGGCTACTTGGTATTAAAAGGAGAAAAAGAAACACATCTATGAAAAATACTGAAAAGTGCAGCATACATGCTCCATTTCTTGCATTTAAACCAGAATTCAGAAGATAGCAAATGCAAGTCAAAGTAAACTGAATGAACACTTAAAGAATTGAGCAAGGAAACACTTATCCATACAAATATATAAAAGTGTAGATGTGTTTAACCTATATTAGATTATCGCCTTTAAAGTGTACAGAATCTATCTTACAATACACAAAACAGTACCAATAACAGTGAGCCTTCATTACCAAATGTAAGAATTCATAATTATTAGAAGTAATCTTAAACTATGTCAAAAGTTTGCAAGAAATATTATCTTGCATGGCAATGGCTCATCCCATGGGGACAGCATGCTCTCATATATTGTCCCAAATGTTTTCTACTGGAATCTAGCAAATAACTCACCTTACTAATAAATCCTCTGTCACTTTTTAAAATGACTGAATGGGTGACTAGGCTGAGTTACATACCAAAAAGCTGAAATTTTATAACAGAAATTAAAGGGATTAGAAGATGTACAATGCAGCTGTTTATTTCTCCCTGCTGATTGTGCTTTCTGTGAGAAAAGTGCCTTAGATATTACAGCCTTGACACAAAGCTGTAATATCCAATAACAGAAAAATAATTAACGGGAAAATATATTCAGGGGTGACCATGTTGGCCATACTACAAAGCATGATTGGGCCAATTTAAAAATACAAAATATGTCATGCACATTTTTGAAACTTTGCAGGATTCTTCATCAGGCCAGGGCAAAAATGGTGATAAGGTTAAAGCTATGGATCTACATTCTATTTGAAATGTTTGTGAATCCTGATTATCTAAAGCAGGTGCCCCCAAATGAAGTTCCATAGGCCGGATGGAGGCCTCCAAGGTAATTTACGCAGCCCCTGGCATAAAATGTAGGGTGCAATGGGTTTAACTCTTGTGCTGCTGAACTGCTGTTGAAAGTTGGTAGTTTGAATCCATGAGATGGGGTGAGCTCCCATCTATAAGCTCCAGGTCCTGCCAACCTAGCAGTTTGAAAACATGCAAATGTGAGTAGATAAATAGGTACCATTTTGATGGGAAAGGGTAAAAAGACTCTCCAAGCAATCTTGCCGGCCACACAACCAGGAGGTAACAATGCAGGCTCCTCGGCTTGAAAATGGAGAAAAAGCACCTCCCCAGAGCCAGGGATGAGCACCTCCTCTAGAAGCCAGAAATGAAAGGAGATTCCTCTGCCTTTGTGTTCGTCTGTCTCATTGTATATAATTGTAAATGCACTGAATGTCTGCCATGTATGTAAAAGCTGTAATCCACTCTGAGTCCCCTAGAAGGGCAGAATATAAATAAGGATTATTATTATTATTATTATTATTATTATTATTATTATTATTATTATTATTATTCTGTCTGAAATTACTTGAAGGCACACAACAACAACAATCCTAATTAACTTGATTATCTCATCAGCCAAAACAAGCCCACACTTCCCATTGAAATGCTGGTAAGTTAACTAAAAAAATTTCTTCATTTTTAAATATAGTATTTTTTTTTATATTTTTGGCACTACAAATAAGATATCTGCAGTATATTTAGGCTTTTTGGAACCTCTACTTAGAAAGTTTGAAGACCCCAGGTCTAAAGGGGTCGATTCTCAATGTAAATAGAAGCTACTTTTTGTCCATGTGAGGACTACAGACAATGAGCAATAAAAGGCAGGTAATACAATTTCAACTCCATTAGCAACCTTCATTGGGCCAAGTCCAATGCTAATGGAGTTAAAATTTTAGTCCCTGGTTCTTCAAAAGCTTTCATCGTGTATTTTATGCTTTGGAGAGGTCTAATAGAGGTATCACTTGCTTGTGAATTTTGGATAATGATGAACAAATAGTTGATAGAAAGTGGTAGAGACTGAGAGGTAGGAAAGGTCAAAGTGACATTAGGAAGCAAGAAGGTGAGGCACAGAATAATAAACTAAAGAGACAAAAATGGAAAGCAGAAACAGAAAAAAATGACTATCAAAAGCAATACACTCCAGAGGGTATTAAAAGTATTAAAATAGAATAAGTGTAGAAGTGAAACTGTGTAAGGCAGAGACAGAAAATCAATTTGATCAGCTATAACTCCTCAGTCAGAGACAGAAGTTCAGCTTTCCCCAAAGCCAGTTGTGACTTGTCCAGAGATGAGAAAAACTGAAACATTGATATTCTAGATAAACCAAAAGAATAGGAAACAGAAAATTCTGGTTCCAAATGTTTTTAAATGGCAGGCTGAGTTTCCAAATTTGCAAATGCAAAATGTTTTATTAGGATATTATTTACTTATTTAACATAATGAATTATGTCTCCAACCCTTGAGCCTGCAGTGGCATACTCTCCAAATTTTGATAGATGGTATGAGGGAAAAAAAACCTGAAAATAGGAATATGTAGCAAAAATAGAGATATAAAAAGCTGTCTCCTTTTGTTGCATTTCGCAGTACACTGTTGCACTTCTTTCTAATCCACTTCCATTTCACTATTAAATTGTGAGACACTCCCCCATCAAGTGCAACATGGGTTTCATGGATATTTCTTATATATATATATATATATATATATATATATATAATGAAAAAACAAAAAGAGACGAAAAAAGGAAAACAGATAGAAAAGAATAACATACAAAAAATTAAAGAAAATATTAGCAATATGTTAAACAACCATCTAATGCAAAACATATACACAATATTAATTGCTGTACACTTATCACATTTTATCAAACCTCTACCCTTTTACCCCATACCCGTGAACCCATCACCCAAGTCCTCTGACACCACTCAGTATGGATCTCATATCTAACAAGCATCTACCTTATTTCATATCTTAATACATTCCCTTTGTGGTTACTTTCAAATCTATGTTTGTCTTCCTTTCCAGATAGTCCAGAACAGTTTCACTATTACACCCCTCTCACAACCCTGATCTCGCACTCAGTGACTATCATCTTTTCACTAAATTGAAAGAACATCTTGGTGGAAAACACTTTTCTGATAATGTTGATGAGGTGAAAATTGGAACTGGCTGAAAAAGGCAGAGGGAAACTTCTATGACACAGGCATCAAAAACTTGTCCCACAGATGACAAAATAAACTGAACTGAATGGTGATTATATGGAAAAATAATGTAACGCCTATGCTATAATCCATGTAAGTTTTATTAAAATATATTCACTCTTTGTTTTTTGTTTTTTTTTAAAAAAAAATCTTGTAATCTTACTTTCTGGATAACCCTTGTATATGAACATTGGTCTTTAGTGAGGAATGATAAAATAAATACGTTAAGCAATTTTCAAAAGTAGACAAACATAAAACTGTCAGAAAAATATAGTCAAGAAGACCCTTATATACTATATCATGAGGTGTTTGTTTTAGTGTGATCCACTCCCCTACATAAATAAACCCAAGCTTTCTTCTAAAATAAAATCTATGAAGAGGTAGCGTAATTCTATCAGACAGTAGTTATACAAATGGTTGTAATATGACATAGAAACTACTTGGTAAATACATGTTTTAAATAAAAGATTTGCAAAAAAATAATTTATCCTTAGACTAATGATGAAAGAAAATTGTGCATAAAGCATGTAAAACAAGCTGTAAGTATAATTCATAGTCCCTTAAATCAGGCCAGGCCTATCATAGGTTTTTCTTATGTTCATGATCCTTTTGGCTGTACATCCAATTAACCTTTATTTACTGAGGGAATGATGACATTCTAATTTGATTGGCAGCCCTGGTGCTGGCGCCACTGAATGAAGTTCAGAAAATTCTGCTGGAAAAGCATGGTTTATTAATACATCATTAAGCACTTTAAATTGATTCCAATGGTGTATGCCTAAGGAAGGAGATAATTCAGCATTTGTTAGTTACTGACAGACTACAGGAAAGTTATATCACAAGCCTTAATATGTTAAAATTCCTAATGTGTGAGCAATTGAATTACAAGATCGTTGAGTAGTCTGTATGTCATCAGCCTCTTTACCAGTAAGAACTATAAATGTTAATGATGCCACTGTTTTGTACAGCACTGAGAACAATGCACTACGGTAATACAATCCAGATGCATTTCAACAAAGATATAATGGCAATTCAATTTATTTGTGATGTGTTTATGATGAGCATTGAGTGCATTAAACCTCCTTTAGAGAAATGACATCATTTAGGGTAGAACAGCCTGATAACCGGTATGAAATGAATCTCTTAACAAGTGTATAGTCATCTCAAACATGTCCATCTTAGGACTTTATTGCCTCAAGCTGTTATTCAACTGCGATTTCACCATCATTGATAGTGGATACATTCCAGTTTGTATTGCATCTGGCCTCATTAGCACAATTGTGCTAATTCACCACTATCACACCTTTATATACTCTTGTAATTCTACTTTTGCCATTTCCACTCTTTTGCATATTTTTAAATAGAATTTAGCTTTGGACCCCGTATACTCTAACCATGTAGACTTGTGTAGATTGGGATCAGTGGCAATGTGGGACAAGATCACCTTAACTCAGACTTACCCCTCATTACTGAAAGTCAAGATAAAGTCTGAATTCTGACCAAAAATTTGAGCTTTCCCCTGATTTAGAGTCAATAAGAACAGCTGGGCCAGCTCCCAAATGAAATTGGATGCAACTGTCCTCACTGTCATTATATGGGTGGCGGTCTCCTTCCCTCACCACCCTTTCTGCAGTGCCAGTCTTCGGCCATGACACAGGCTCATTTCAGGGAGCAATTCAAAGTGCTAATTTTAACTCTTAAAAATTCTACACAGCTTGGGTCCAGTTTATTTTAAGAACTTGATTTCCTTTTATGAGGCCACTAGAGCTCGATGATCATCAGGAAAGGGCTATTATTATTATTATTGTTATTAATTAACTTTATTTGTACCCCCCTAGCATCTCCCGAAGGACTTGATGCAGCTTACAAAGGCCAAGGCCTCAAAACATAGCATAACAAATACACAACTCAAAGCAAATCAAAAACAATTAAAGCAATATCAAAACACAAAAGCAATAAAAGCAATACACTAAAACCACAATAAAACTGGGTCGGGCCAAATATAATGGGTACAGATTAAAAGTGCTGATGTGACAGGTGGTATGTCAGATTTTAGGGAAAGTGCAGTGTGCGAGCAATCTTAAACTCTAATAAAGTGCTTCTGGGACATGTTGGAGTTTTCCTTTTCTGGAAAGGCACATCGGAACAACCAGGTCTTCAAGTTCTTCCTAAAGACTGCCAACATAGGGGCCTGTCTAATGTCTTTGAGGAGGGTGTTCCAGAGTCGGGGGGCCACCACAGAAAAGGCCCTGTCTCGCGTCCCCACCAGACGCGCCTGCGACGCTGGTGGAATCGCGAGCAGGGCCTCTCCGGATGAACAAAGAGAACACATGGGTTCATAAACGGAGATGCGGTCACGCAGGTAGGATGGTCCCAAACCGTTTAGGGCACCTGCATCTTGAATTGGGCTCGGAAAATAAACGACAGCCAATGGAGCTCCTTGAACAGGAGGGTTGACCTCTCTGTAAGGAGCACCCGTTAACATCCTGGCCACTGCCCGTTGGACCAGTTGAAATTTCCGAGCCGTTTTCAAGGGCAGCCCCACATAGAGTGCATTACAGTAGTCCAATCTAGAGGTGACCAAGGCCTTATTTTCATTTCCTTTAAGGCTCTGGATTTCTTCCCAAGGTTTACTTAGGTACATGGCATTGTCCATCTGTTTTTTAAAATGGTTATTAAAGGTGTATGGTAACAGCTAAAGAGAGAATATCAGAAGAAGGGTCTCTTCTGTAATACAAGGTGTTGAATGTGGTTCACTTAGTGCCATATAAAACTCTTGACACTGTATATTATAGTTCATCCTTTGAAGCAATGGCTCTGAATGACTAGGAGTTCTTCCAACCTTTTGTCACTGATCTGGAATGATTCTTAAATTCCAAGATATATTCAGAACAGAGGTGTAAATATTATTCAGACATTTTCTCATCCTTGGCAAGAAAGTGAATCTCAGCACATTGAGATACTATCTTTTATGTTTTTTAATTTTAAAAATCTGTCTGATGTAAGATTTTTTGAGCTTTGAGCAAGAACAAAAAGACTGCTACACTTTTTATTACTATATTTTTCTTTTGGCTGTTGCTTTTTTGGAAAGCATTTTTTGTGGAAAATATATATATTTATGAAAAATACAATATTTATGTTCACAAATCTGAAAGTGTGAAATTTATTTTTAAAGTTCAGTGTTCATGTAAGTTCTCAGCCAACAGAGAGAAAGCATTCCAATTTCTTATTCTTTCATGTGAGAATGGAGTAAGAAAAGATGTGCACTACTTGTTCTGAATGTTTTCCCACCAAATCTAACAAGGACAGAAGTGTTGGTAATTTCCTATATTCAGCACAATCTGTTTAATCAGACTGAGAGATAGCAGTTGCCCCAAGGTCAACCACTCAACTATATCATTGAGTGTCTCCCCAACACTAGTCTAATCTGCTAATACATAAAACAATTGATCTTCTTTTACATATTTCATTATGCTAAGTATAACCACAAAACGACTGGCAAAATTTTATTTGATGCTAAGTGGTAAAACCAGATGGAGAACATGTTTCCTGTAGTATATGCCTCCAGGTATAAGAGGTACTTCTCTTTTATAATACATATTGTAAATAATATAGATAGAGTAGTCTTACAAATAGAGGTGTTCCAAAACGTACTTCAACCTTTTTGTTTTGTCCTTATCCTCTGAATATTTAATTACATTTTAAAAAAGACAGATTGAAATTTAGGGGCATGTAGCATTGTGTGTATTAATAATTGTGCTTAGGAAGGAAGTGGGAGCAATAATTCTAAGATTCTATCAGAGTTGACAGGTATAATATTGTAAACACACTGGAAGTATCTAGCTTTGATTTGTAGAGAAGATTGATGCAATGCCTTCTGTAGCTATTATTAACAGGGATTTTTTAAATTTTTTTAATTCTGCGAACAGGCCATTTACCTGTCTTTGTTTTTATTGAATAAATTAAGACACTATTTCAGTTTTGTAGAAAAGAGAATGTAGATTAAAGAGATTGAGTTCTGCTTCTGAGGTTCTCCACAGAACTGGAACCACCAAGTCCTAATAAAATGGGCTGGATGCAGATTGGCCAGTCTGTGGTTAGTAGATTTATTGCTGGAAAAAAGGTGCAGAGCGGTCATACTCCCTTCCTTTGTTGCTCTTGTATTGCCTTCCAAGCTGCTCCTCGGAAGCATTTTTTGTCAAGATGACAATGTGGGGGAAGAAGAAATAATGGAAATTTCCTTCCTATCCTCTTCCTCCAATATCACTGTGGCCAAAATTCAGTTTGTGCTTGAATATCAAGCAATTTCTGCAATGTGCCCTGGAATGTTAATGATATGGACTGTGATATTTCACATCTAAGACATTTTTCCATCTACAACTTGTGGTTGTTGGTTTTTTGGGTGGGAGTGGGAAGGGTTGACTTGTTTTCTGGCACTTTTCTTGTGAAAAAATCACAGCCTGTTTAAAAGGCAGCTGTTAGCACTTTCTGAAAAATCAGTTGCTTTTAACAGTTCTCACACTCTGCACTCAATATCCAATCCAAATCTAGTTACTTTTGAAACATTCTGGCTTTTGCCGCTGACCTAAATACAACTCTTATCTGGATAATGCATAAAAGACATATGTTTGAACTGGAGAAAGTGCACTGAATTGCCTTTCAAGGGCATGCTGCGGTTTACAATTAGTTGCAAAGTACATCTGTCTGTAAGAAGTGATTTATTTTTCATTTTTATATGTTGCAATATGTCTATACTAACTCTCCACTTTGCCATTACTGTGTCTACTGGTCTTTTAAAGGGAATACATCTGAAACACATGCTGGGATGGGTGTCATTTAGTTCTGCTTTTATGGGAAGCAAGATAAAAATATTAGGAGATCTGTAATATTTCAATAGCAAACTGATAATTTGAACAGTGTTGTTTCTGAAGAGAAGTCTTTTGCAACCTGATTCTTACGTTGGACTACCATTTCCATTATACCCAGCCATCACAAGCTAAGATAGTTACAGGCCTTTGGTTGGAAATGACTTTCTTAAAAGAATCAAGGGGTTTTTTTTTAATTTGCAAAGCAGACAGTTACCAGAGGAAAGAATAAAAGAAGCTGAATAAGAAAAAATA